AGCAGGAAGGGGTCACAGAGCGCAGAGGCGAGGAGCCACCTGTTTTCCATTCTAATGCCGGCCCAAGCACCTGGCCGCAGCGATTACTGGAAAGTCCACTTGTCCCTGTACTGACGGCCCAAAGAAGCATGATCAAACACTCTTTGGAGATGTAACATGCCCAGTCCGGTCAGAACTAAGGGCTCCGACAAGCAGACCTCTAGCTACATAAAATTCCACCTCAAACAGTTAAAGCCTGGCAAAATTATAAAGCAACTGAAAACAGGGTCTCACAAAGATAAGGGTTAGGCAACCTCAATAATGGGTGATGCTACCAACCCAGCCTAGAATACCCCCCTCCAAAATGTTATAAGAAATGCTAGAAACTTCTATTAAAAAAGAAGCAGCAAGAAATAAAACAGAAACTGGACAGTTCTTTAGCCTTAACTATCAAAAGAACAAGTGTGGTGGGATGAAGAATGATCTTAGGGTTAAGGGACTAGGCAGGGACTTGGAAGATTTAGATCTGATTTTCAGCTCTACCACAGGCTTTCTACGTGACCCTGACCAAGTGACACAATCTCCATCTCTCAGCTCACTCTCTGTGAATTGAGGATTATGATAGTCCTCTATGTTGCAGAGGCATATACAGATACATTCATAGATTTAATAGATTTTCAGGGTCGGAAGGGACCTCAGTAGATTGAGTCCGACCCCCTGCCCTGGGCAGGAAAAAGTGCTGCAGTCAGATGACCCCAGCCAGGTGCATGTCCAGTCTCCTCTTAAAGACCTCCAAGGTAGGGGAGAGCACCACCTCCCTTGGAAGCCCATTCCAGATTCTAGTAACCCTTACCATAAAGAAGTTCTTCCTTATGTCTAGTCTAAATCTGCTCTCTGTCAGTTTGTGGCCATTGTTTCTAGTTACTCCAAGGGGTGCCTTGGCAAACAGAGTTTCTTGCTGCCCCCCCACTGCAAGCTACGGCCTCACCAGTACCGCACAGAGGGGAAGTATCACCTCCTTAGACCTGTTCGTGATGTACCTGTTAACGCATGATAGAGTGTGGTTAGCTCTAATGATCACTTTGTCACACTGGAGACGCATGTGCACTCCCTGAGATTGGCCATGCACCCACTCCCTGGAAGCGCCAGCCACGAAACTGTAAGTGCTGGCAGAAGTGCACTTCCAGTTTCTCTGCTGGTGGTTCTGTCCTCAGTGATTACTTGCTGAGGGGAATCCCCGCCCCCTCCCATCTGAAATCAGTCGGGGGGCCCCCCCGGGTCGACGATCTGGTGCCCCAATCTCTGGGTCCCCCCGCAGCTGATCGTGCCAACCGGAAAGCAGCTGCGGTGCTCCTGGAAGTGCCAGCGGTGCTTCACCTGGCACACCCACTCCCCAGCTGGCACTTGCAAAGGGGGGCACTGGTGCTCCCCCCTGCCAGTTGCCTAAGTGGGGAGTGTGGCCTGTCAGGGGGTGCACCAGAGCTCTCAGGGGGTGCACATGCACCCCTGTGCACCCCTTACATGTTGCTCCTGGGCACCAGTCACCCATGCTTCATCACATTGTTAACTCACGTGTTTGCGAGGTGTTCAGACAGAGCGGAGGTTGGGAGGACCTAATCTTGGCACTGCTCTCATCCAAGTGAGAATTTGTGCCTGTACTGCCCTTTTGCAAAGTGCAAAGTACAAATTGTTAATTTCTTGCTGTTATAATTAGAATGAATTTGATTTTAAATAAAAGCCTAAGAGACCTGTCCTTATGCGTGTTCAAAGAACTGGGGCACTTTCTTCCCTCCTATAACCAAACCATTTGGAACCAGGTATAGTTTTTAAATTCTGGTTTAAAAATCCACTTTCTTCTGTAGTTTCACTGACATGATGCCTGCCTACTTTATCATTATTTAACCCATACCAGTGCCTCTTCTCTTATCCCTGCTTAGGCAAATAGTAGGTACCTGAGAATGGCATCCAGAGAAAACTCTAATATTTAGAGCTGGCTTCTCAGGAAGACAGACTCTTCACTGCTTTATGCAAGAAGTTCATTAACTTCTGAAAAATCTTATATTACTTGGCAGAGGACTTTCATTTTTCTGAGGGCAGACTCTGGTTTCCTTTTAATAATCTCTTTTGACAAATTTTCCTCTTTGAGAGAACCTGCTTTTCCTCTGATAGAGCACTTACTGGCTATTTTTTTTTTTTCAAACAACAGATATTAATAATATTTACAGACACAAAACATCAAACAGCCATTCCTAGCGATGACTTATGTTTGAAGCTTTAGTATGGTCTTGATTTCTTATAGGTTTGTTATTGTTTCAGCATAATCTCCCTGCGATAGCAAAACACAGTTAACCCCATGAAAAAGTCTAATAAAAATGTGTGTTCTATGCACACTTTTCATGCCCTTTGTGAAAGATCCCAAGATGCATTAAATGGCTACTAATATTATTCTGTTTGTATATCCCTTCATTCATATTTGTATATCAATCAGCACACCCAGGGCACCATGGGGTTAAAACTGTTTGAGCTAAAATTCTGTCTATAAGACCATTCTTTATTTTCCATCTCATCCTCATACAATGAGTGAACATGGGATTCTTTTCTTGAATTATTTCTGCTGCTTATATCTGATGAAGCCTTGCTGTCCCATCCTCATGATGTAATGAGAAGGTCTGTGCTAAGAGACAGAGTCCACTGTGCTCAAAAGGCAGTCACAAACTGGGATCATTCTGCCTTCCAGGGGAGTGCACTCCATAAACTTAGTGCCCAATCACCAAGGAAGGTTAATTCCAAATCTCCAAGGGTATTACCTTGGGATCCACCAGCTCTTGCAGTGAGCTAAGGAGGAAGAGACAATGTCAGAGCTTGCCAGGATTTGAGGACTATGAAGATGAAGATCAAGAGAGATGATACAACACATGGACCAGAGAAGTGGTACTGGAAGTGGATCAGCCAAAAGGAAAAGCATGGCACCTCCCACAAGGAGATGTCTTGAGGCTTATACAAGGATGCAAAGGCATGATGTGGCTGCTGCAGACCTGAAAAGATGCTGCTGAGAAATAACAGATTTGTAGGTAAGGCACAAGTTTGGGAAAGATGAATGTGGTTGAAGGAAAACTATGAATTTACTGTACATTATTTCTTGACCTGCAGTATTGCTTCTATTTTAATACATTGCATCCAGCTTACTTGGTCTCACCCAACCCCTATGAAGATTACCTTGTATTTTGAAGTGTCCCAGTTATGTACTAGCCGTGCAGGTATTAGAAAGCTGTCATCCACATGGCAGGTGCTGCAGTAATACCACCCACTGTAACTGCACACTTTGGCTTTTCCATTGGAGAGGCCTATGGAGCGCTGACAGCCTGGGAGAAAAAAGAAAAAAAAACCCCACATTATTTTTGTATCCCTTGCTAGTGAGGTTAAATAGGGATGTGATAAGGGAACATTCCCCAGATAAGAGCACCGGTAAAAGATAAATAGCTTTCAAGTCTCTGCAAGTAATGGGCTATATGTGGAGATTTCAGCATATGCTGAAACTCCAGAAGCATCCATTACATTTGGTGTGCAACCTGGGATAAGTAGACTTGGTTTTTTGCAGGTGCTGAGTACTCCCAGTGGACAGCCTGTTTGATTCCCCTTAGGGGTTGATACCCATCTGATTGAATAGCACATATCTGGAAAGATCATTTACTTTCCTTAGATTATGAAGCAGCAGTATATAGTCACAGGCTAATTATATAGAATTACCAAAGCAAAAATGTAGTAGTCAGCTTGCCCCTTCTCCCATGCTGCAGTACACAATCAAACATGCCACCCTATGGATACTGGCTTGGAAAGGAATCCACCCACCCAGTGGCAAGAGGGCATTCTAAAGCCCTGGAACCCTTTGAAGAATGCACTACACTAATACTATACTAATATTAATACTATATTGGGGGGAACCAGCAGAGGTGTAAGCAGGCACTTCTGTGCCCTGGACAGAAGCAGCATATGGGGCAGCGGTAGCAACTGGGCCGCTGGCAGTGGCACAACAGTTGGGAGAGCAGTGGTGATGGCTGTGCACCACCCCGCAATGGGTGCCTGGGGCTGGTGCAGATACCCGCCCTCCCCCCCTACTTATTTACTCATGCTCTCTACACTGTTTACAAAGAGAGAGCAAAACTCCATCTGCACCAGCCCTAGCTTCCCCACTGATTTAAGATGTGTCCTTATGAAGAGCATGTTGCATTAGTTCAGCATGGAGGTGACAAAAGCATGGATGATGGGAGCAAGATTCACAGGGAGGAAAAGAAGAGCAAGTCTTGCTCTTCTTTCCCAGACCCTATTCTCATTTCCTTCTGTTGCTGACCGACTACATGGGCAAATACACTTTCCTCCACTGGGAAGTGCCCCTGCAATCATATCTGCTTGCAGGTTTTGGCTTATTTTGAAAGAGTAAACACTGTCATTTCCCAGTTGGATTTTTTTTGTTTTAAAATGGGACAGCAATGATCTAGATTGAACAAAGAATTCAATCAAACAAGATGCAGGGCAGCTTTTTGCAAAGTGTCTTAAACTTTGCATCAGATCCTCCCACTCTATTCTAAAGGCTTATATCTGTTGTTGAATGGATAAGTACAAACTCACTAACTGGTAGAACAGCCATAACAAACACCGAGTTGGCAAATATAGGAGGAAGCCACGCAACAAGTATTGCCATACCAAACAATAAGTACCATGTAAACAAAAGCGAGGACCACTCTTATTAAGGAAAAGTAATTTGATAAGGTATAATTAGCTGAACAATTGACACTGGGAAATATTCATGAAGATATTTATTCTTTTGTTTTCATGGTTTGTGATCATTAATAGTTTTCTATTACAGTAGCACTTGCAGTTCTCAGTTGCAATCAGTCCCATGTGTTAGGTGCTGCACATGCATATAGTAAGAGAGAGTCTCTATACTGAGGAGACTGTCAAATCAGGTTCACACTGGAAGCTTTTGCTAATATACTAACACCACTTGTTAGTGTGATTTTTAATAACACTTTCAATTAGCAAAAAGCTTAGTCAGTTATTACACAAGTAAAAAGGTGCTTTTGCTGATCTCTTATTGTATGAGTTATGCCAGCAAAGGCATTCTTTTATTGATATAAGATACATCTACACTTGAAGGGTTTTGCTGGTACATCCATACCAGCTTAAATTAAAACACTTTTCCACACTGCACAGCATTTGAGGGCACCTTGTGTTCTCGTCTCTGATGAAGGTAATCACAATAGATTGGCTGATGCTACCGCCCCACACTCCATTACAGAAAACACTCCAGACCATTTCTCACATCCTGCATTGATTCTTTGTACCATGCATAGCCAAGGGAATCAATGCAGGTTGTGTCCTGGCTTAAAATGAGCTACACTTTTTGCTGTTAAATTAGTTGTATGTTCCTTGGAAATCATAAGTATAAACACATTTCAGACTGATGAGAGACACTTGCATCAGTACCCATTCAGTGCACAAGGTCATCAGAAATGAGACAGCCACACGTCTCAAATATTACCACAAAAAGTTTTGAGCAAACATGTGACATCTGACCTTAGTTACAATTCAAGTCCAAAACTGAAATGTGAAGGTCTTGGTCAGCATTCCAAAACATATTTTCAGGAAACTATTATCAGTGAAGAACAAGACTCAACGCTGTTGCAGAGAATGAATAAAATACAACAAAGTTTGACTAAAGGCATGCATCTTGAAAATGTAAATCCTGTGATCTTTAGAATAATACATATTACAATCAATAATACAAGATGGGGCATTAGAAAAAGGATGGTTCTGTGTCTGTAAGTCTGGGACTGGAACTCAAGAGAAATGGGTTCAATGCCAAGTTGTGCCAGACTTCTTGCATGACCTTAGGCAAATCATCTCATCGTACACCCCATCCAGCAGTGTACGTGAATGTGCATGTGTGTGAGGAAGTGCCCATTAGTAGTGAAATGCAGAATTAGAGCCTTAAGTGCACCTTGCTTCCCTGTGTGTACAACAAAAGTTGTCATACCACTTCCTAACCTCCTAAGAGTACAGCAAGAACACATCTGATAATGTTTTCAGGGTGCCCATATTCCACAGAGGTGATAAGCTCCCAGTGAAAGAGAGAAAACAGTTCCTTCACAGTGTGTTTGTGTAAGTCAAATCAAATGGCAGGTATTTATAAATCTTTTGAGATACTGAATTCCCTCCATTTTTTCAAACTGCAGTAGCCTCCCCCCTCTACTTCACTGACAACTACTTAAAATTCCCAATGCCCACTTGAAAATTGAAAATAAAAGCAAGTTTGCTTTCAAAATTGGTTTCTATTTTTCCTGGCTTCCATTCTTTTTATTTCTTTGGACTGCAGGAGTTAATGTGCCTTTACCAGCTCCCTACTACACCATAAACAAGCTGCTGTAAAGACACCTGTGAGACCATATAGAACAACGATAGCAAGGAAGTTATATTACAAAGTCAATCTCATGAATGTAGGTCTATTTGAATGTAGTGGAGCTGTTTGTATCCATAAAAGTTTGCAGGAAAAGACCCCAAATAAGCAATTAGTGGCAGGAACAGATTAACTCTTAAACAAAACATCCTTTGTGTTCATGCAAGCATCCTTGTTAGCTTGCTAGCAGGGAAGAAGCAACAAACTCAAATGCCTGGTTTATTCACTGTACACTAGGCTAGTGAAAGAAGCTTTACAAATTGTTAAGGTCTGACCTGCTAGGACACTGCCGACTGGAAATGGCTCTATATTTAAATTAAATTAAATATATTTTGTAATAAATTAATTTACTTTTAAAAATGTTTTAGATCCAACAACTCTCAAAACATTTTCCAACCGGAGAGTTCACACAGATTTACAAAATAAGCATTATCTCCATGTTACTAACGGGCAATCTGAAGCTTAAGGGCCACATTTTGAAAAGTGTGTATTAACTTGGGTGTCTAACTCAAGATGCAGAAGATCTCATTTTCAAGGTGCTGTATACCTCTTCTCTTTTACTTGAGATCCATGGGAACTACAGATCTTGAACCCTTCTGAAAACCAGAAACCACTTGTCTTAAATTGGGCACCCAAAGTAAAATAGCTTTTCATAGTTTGTTTTGCTGTAAGGAAACCCCCGTCAGTGGCAGAGCTGGAAACAGAATCATATTCATCGTCTCCTAAGCTTGTGACCTCAGTATTGGACAATCTGTCTTCCTTTTACAATATCAATACGATTGATCAATCAGAACAACTGATCAGAAAAACAATGAAGGACATGATACATGACCTTTCATTTAGGCCAAATTTCATGCAAAAACATTGTGAATGCACTCCTCAACCGCTGGTAGCACATACGTTTAGTCTAAGAAACATAAAACTGATCTGATCCAATAACCCAACAGTGAGAACCAATAATTCCATAAATACCCAATGTCTTTGGCTAGGGACTATAGATAGTACATGCAAACCAGTTTAAGTGATCAGAAACTGGTTTAAACGTGTAACAGAACATAGGTTCAGTGCACATAAACCACTTGGAAAATGGCTGAAACCAGTTTGAGATAAACCTGGTTGAATGTAGTATCAGACTTAACTGATTTGAGTCAAACTGGTTTATACAATGCGTGTCCCAGACCCCTTGCTGGTTTAAGTTAAATCAGAGTCTCCCAGCATCCCAGAATGCTCTCTAGGCTGGGTGGAGCTCTCTGCTCCCCAGGAGAGCTGGCCCCTCCGCTCTGCTCCCTAGCTAGAGCTCTGGCAGAGACTTGCAGGCACAGCAGGGTCTTCTGGCCTCCCCCTGCCCCTTACCACTCGCTGCTTAAGCAGGGATTCCTTCCTCCTCTCTGCCACAGCACAAACCATAGCCAGCATGTGGTATGCTAGCTAATGCTGTGTAAGGCTCCAGCAGAGACTGCAGGCACAGCAGGGTCTGCATGGCTTCCCCCTGCCCTCCCCGCTCCGCTGCTCAAGCAAGAAATCCCCCCCTTCTTCCCTCCCATCTCCCACAGCACGGATCCCAGCCCCACAGACCCTAGGCACATGGTATGCTAGCTAATGCCAAGGGGTGTGTGTGTTTGTGTCTCCCCAATTTCACTGGGGCAGGCAGACAGAGCCGTGACTGTTTAGGGCTGTTAGGAGCTAATCAGCAGGTCAGCCGGTAAGCTGTTTAAGAAGTTTTAAGAAATGGAGAGAGGCCATTGTTTTGCTAATTGGGTGATAAAGACTGTTATTACTATCATCCCCCAGCTGGCTTGCTTGCCTGTCAGTTTGCTGCAGGCAGTATGACAAAGCAGGGAGGGAGACTGAAAAGCTCCGAATCATCTACAGATACATGCACTGCACCTCCCCCTGCTTTCATCTCAG